CTCGTGCAAACAAGCGTATCTATATCGCTTTTGTCTTTCTCAAATGTACCTTTTGCCACACTGCCAAATATAAAAGCAAACAAAACTCCTTTTCCAAATATTCCCTTTACTCCATCGATAAATTCAGTTGATACGTTATGCCTTACGACCCGTTGATCAGTCACCATACTTCTTTTACTAAGAACTAAATCACGAAGCACTTTTCTCTCCACGAAAAGCTTATGCATTATTTCGGGTACCAAAATAGGAATAGCAATACTACTCAACTTTCCTTTTATATCTTTATGTATTATAGAAGATGCACCTCTACTATAACCACCATATGGAGTAAAGCCATTATCTATTCCTTCATCATGTACAATTTTGTTATGCAAGATTATACCTACATTTTTAGATAGAATATACCCACTTATCCGATCTGCAAAAACAGATACATACATTTTATTTTGCACATATCTTCCATCTTGATCTTCAAAATAAAGCTTTAATTGGTTATTATTGTCGTATGTATAAATAAATAAAATAGGACCAAATATTTCTTTATAGTTAAGATCATCGGATGTGATATCCGATTGAATAATTGTCGGATAAACAATTTTATTTTCTTTATCTACTTTCCCACCTAAAATTATTTTTAGTTTATTATTATCGATTATCGCCTGTAGCCTATCTAATTCTTCTTCTCTGAGTATTTTACCTACTATTACATCCTCACCACGATGATTTCCTACCTTCAACTTAGAAACTTTTTCTTTGAGTTGTGCAACAAATTTACCTCTAATTTTTTTATGTACAAAAATCGCATCAGGCCCTGCACAATCTTGACCAGCATTAAAGAACTTTGTATACGTTACGCCCTCCACTGCTTTATAAATATCAGCGCTTTCAGTAATAATAATAGGATTATGACCCGACCCGTTATTAATCATAAACGCACCAGGCTTAATGTATTTTTTTACCTTATCCTTCGTTTCATTACGTCCTGTAAAGATAACCAAATTTGATTGTGCAACGTGATCTAGCAAGAAATTATCTCTATTACCTGAAAAGAGAGATACATTAGGGCAAATATTACCTAGCTCTAATATTCTAAACAAACCCTCTATTGAAGCTGCACCTACTAATACACTACTTGTACGCACAACTACACTCTTTGAAATAAAACTTGGTATTATTGCAAACAGCAACAAAGAATAGAGTGGCAAGTTAGATGGTAAAAAGACAGAAACTTTAATACCTGTATGTGCTCCTAAATATTTTTGAAGTTTGTTTATATTTTTCAGTGTGTATACACAACGGTCAATTTCGTACTGTGTAACACTGACAGGTTGATATTCGACAAGCAGATTTTTAATCTCTTTCGAATTTTTTTCCAGGATTTCTATTAACTTCCTAAACTCCAGCTCCATTTAATTTATTAAACTCTAGCCCTATTATTTATAAATATATTCACTATGATTGTATATAACTTTTTCCTTGTTTTAAAGTGTATAACCATTAAAATTAATCTAGTTTATAGGCTCAAAATGTTATGAGTAATTGTATTATTTACCTCATAGGTTTTTCAGGTAGTGGTAAATTTACCATAGCAAAGGAGTTGTGCAAAGCCATCTACGCAGTACAAGTAAGTAATACTGTGTTCAATGACCTGATATTTAATTTTGTAAACTTACAAAACTCCATAGTTCCAGATGACGTATGGGAGCAAATTTTCGAAGTAAGAAAAAATGTAGTCCGGGTACTAGAAAAATATTACATCAAATCAAAGCACTATATCTTTACAAATGAACTACTAGAAGGTGATACGTATGATCAAAGAGTATATAACCTGGCAGTGAATTTAAGTAAAAAAATAAACACACAAATTTTTCCTGTAGTTTTACACTGTAGTCACGATGAGCTAATAAAACGCATCAAACTAAAAAGTGCAAGAAACAAGAATAGAAACCTTGTTACTGATCCAAATTTTACTATAAAAAGAATACAGGAGAAAAAGCTACTGATACCTAAAGATGCTTTTGAGATTGATAACTCAACTTTAAGTGTAAAAGAAACTGTAAGTAAAATTATCGAAGAGGTGAAAAACAGAAAGCTCACTGTAGCTTTCATAGATAAGGCATAATATTTATTTCAAAATCAAGTTACAACTCTATTTCTACCATTGTTTTTTGCTCTGTATAAGCATCTATCAGCACGTTCTATAAATAAGTTAACATCTTCAAGATCAAAACTTTGCACTTCTGCAACCCCAATACTAACAGTTTTATTCACCACATTACCTAACAGCATAAAAGGTTTTTCAATAACAGAACGTATTCTTTCTGCAATAGCACATGCATCTGACACACTTGTGTCCGGCATAACAACAACAAATTCTTCGCCACCAAATCTAGCTAGCAAATCTGTTATTCTAATGTTTTCAGAAATCCTTTTTTGTATCTGCTTTAAAAGCTCATCTCCAACAGTGTGACCAAAGTTATCATTCACCATCTTAAAATAATCTATGTCCAGCATTAATAAAGATAAGCTCCTACTCTTTGCTATAGAGTCTTCAACAATATTCTTTAAATGTTTATCAAAATACCTTCTATTATAGCAGCCAGTTAGTGGATCCTTTATGGACATCTCCGCATTGTAAGATAGATTCATCCTTAAAGCATCTTGATATCTCTTACGTTTTACCTGAGAATTCACTCTAGCTATTAATTCATTTTCATCTAATGGCACCACTAAATAATCATTCACTCCTATTTCCAATGCCTTTATTAGTTTATTTTTGTTATGTCCCTCATCAGATAAAATCAAAATAGGTGTATAACGTGTCTCCGGTTTACTACGCAGCTCTGAACACAAACGTAAACCATCAATTTCATTGAATTGTATATTAGAAATAATAAGATCATAATCACCTTTAATACTCGATGCATTGATTGGATTGCTTAATACTTCTACCAAACGGAAACATTGCTTCGACAAAATTTCACATATTCGTTTCGCTTGTGACATATCCTCATCGATTACCAATATACGACCGTAATAGGTTTCATTTGCGTATTCTATTAAGCTCCTATCCATTATCCCGTTCATTTCTGCATTAGTCTTATCCCTTAAACACAGCTCATCAATTACAAACTTCAAACGAGTTAGTGATTTGATCCTTGCAGATAATGCAGTCTCATCTATTGGTTTTGTTAAAAAATCATCTGCACCTGCATTTATGCCCTTTACTCTATCCTCTGTGTCATGTAATGCAGTTACCATCACCACTGGTATATGCGTTGTCATTGGATTATCTTTCATTTCTTTACACACCATAAAACCATCTATACCAGGCATCATTACATCAAGTAATACAATGTCTGGTTGTTGTTCAACCACTAAATTTAGCGCCTCTTGACCCCCACAAGCAGTAATCACTGTATAATACTCAGCAGTGAGTTTAGCTTTTAACAGTTTAACATTAGATAGAACATCATCTACTACTAGAACCTTTGCTGTCATTATCTTGATCAGATACACTATCTATATTATAAGTAGGATAAAGCTTGCCGTCCTTACCAGTTATATATTTCACTTCTTCCGTGCTATATAAATCCTCAATTCCAGCATCTTTTAACAATTTTTTTGTTTTAAACTTTATACTAATAATATACCTATATACCACCCTAATAAAACTAATAAATATAGGCATTTTTTCTTTATCAATAACGATTAAACCCACTAGTGCCACAACTAAAATTTCTGAAAAACCTATGTTAAACATTATCACGATATAGCAGAGACCTTACTCTTCTGATTATAGATATTAATCTACTCAAATCAAGTTTAGCAGTAATCATTTCACTTAAAAAACTATTATAATACTCTAGCTGCTCTTTATGAGCATGATTCCATACCTTAACACAGTTGGAAGATTCTATCACCTTAATAGTAAGATTGTAGTGATAGTCGCTTAAATCATCTAATGCATCACTAATTACACTACGATCCCAATATGAAGAGTGGCTCTTAACTTGCAAAGCAGTTTTCCTTATAAGATCAAACTTAAGCAATGATTTTAACTCAAAATATATTTTGGCAACATCAAGCACAGGTAAAGACGTTTGTTTAGCAATTAACACAACATCCAGTGCATAAGCAAGAACATTAAGATTAGCCAATTTTTCAACTAGATCTTTATCTATGTGTAATTTTAATAGATCATGATTGTAAGCTTTCAATAAACGTTTATCCAAAACATTAGCTAAGTTTTGAGTCAAAACTTCAATGCCATCGCGAAACTTTAAAATTCCTGTCAGTTCACTCAAACCAAATTTACTAAAATTTCTTACTAACCAAAATGAAACCCTACCAACAAACTTCTGTATATTTCTTACTACCTCTAAGTACAAATTAACCTCAACCACTCCATCTAATTTATCCACTTCTTCCCAAAGCGCATTCAAATTATATAGTTGGCTCACAATAATATACACATTAGCTGCTTCATGTATTTTAATTCCCGTGCTTTCAGCCAAATTATTAATAAACACACACCCCATTCTATTTACAATTTCATTAGTAACGCAGGTAGAAACAATCTCTCTACGTAGCTGATGCTTCAGCACATAATCCCCAAACTCATCCACTATCTTTTGAGGAAAATAACTCAATAAATAGTCACTAAAGAGAAAATCTTTTTCAGGTAAGTCAGAATTTATAATTTCGTTCTTTATGTATGTTCTAACATAAGACATTAACACAGAAAGTTGTGGAGCATTCAACCCTAATGATATCTTTGCTATTTCTTCATCAGTTGGAAGAAATTCTACACTTCGATTTAAAAGTCCAGACTTCTCAAGAACTACCAGCAATCTGTGGTGCTGCTCAAACCTATCTTTTGCTTGCATTTCCTCAAGAAGTAACGCTTTTGTTTCGATTTTATTATGATCATTTAGAACTTTAAACGCCACTTCATCAACCATGCTGCCTAATATTTTATTTCTTTCCTCTAAAGAAATACCCTTTTCTTTCACAGCGGTGACAAGTGCAATCTTTATATTCACTTCTAAATCAGAACAGGCAACTCCAGCCGAATTATCAACGAAATCCGCATTAATATACCCACCATTATTGGTATATTCTATCCTGCTAAGCTGCGTACATCCCAAGTTACCACCTTCTATAAACATAGAGGCTCTGATATCCTTACCATTTACTCTCAGAGCATCATTAACTTTATCACCAACAACACCATGGCTCTCATTTGCTGCTTTGACGAATGTGCCTATTCCACCATTCCATATAAAGTCTACTTTCGCCTTCAGTAAATACCTAATTAAATCACTTGGAGATAATGTATCTTCTTTGATACTAAAACACTTCTTCATTTCTTGAGAGATGTTAATATACTTACTATTACGCTCAAAAATCCCCCCACCCTGAGAGATTATTTCTTTGTTGTAATCCATCCAACTTGAAAACGGTAATTCAAAAAGGCGTTTACGCTCTGCAAAACTTTTTTCTGGATCAGGATTAGGATCAACAAAAATGTGAACATGGTTAAATGCACCAACCAAATGAATTTTGTTTGAAAGTAACATTCCGTTGCCAAATAAGTCACCTGACATATCTCCAATTCCTACTACAGTGACATCTTGATAAATATCTTTGTGCATTTTCCAAAAGTGCCTCTGCGCTGCAATCCAGGCACCCCTTGCTGTTATACCCATTTTTTTATGGTCATATCCGGCTGATCCGCCTGATGCAAACGCATCTCCAAGCCAAAAATTATACTCAGCAGCTATTTCGTTAGCATAATCAGAAAAAGTAGCAGTTCCTTTATCTGCAGCAACTACCAGATATGGATCATCTTCATCATATCTGATTACATTCTTTGGTGGGATTATTTTACCATCCACTACGTTATCAGTAATATCAAGCATACCTTTGACGAAATTTCTATAACACTCAACACCTTTCTCCCTCAAAGTCTTTGTATCCTTATAGGCCTGCTTTATTACAAATCCACCTTTTGCCCCAACTGGAACAATAACTGCGTTCTTAGTCATTTGAGCCTTCATCAAGCCTAAAACTTCCGTACGAAAATCTTCAGTTCTATCTGACCATCTTAATCCACCACGCGCTAATTTCCCCCCTCTTAAGTGGATTCCTTCAAATAGATTTGAATAAACATATAATTCACGATACGGACGAGGTTCAGGTAAATTATCCATCTTACTTGAATCAAACTTTATAGAGAGATAAGGCTTATCATCTTGATAGTAACTGGTCCGAACAATAGCCATAATCAAATTAAATATTGAACGCAAAATATGATCATGTGAGATATTACTAATTTCCTTGAGCAAGTCTTCAATTTTCTCTTTGAAAATATTTGTAGTCTGCACTCTATCGACATCCACATTAGGGTTAAATCTAGCACGAAACAATTGTATCAGGTACTTTACTATTTTTGGATATTCTGAAACTACCTTTTGTATATACTCCTGATTATAACTAAAGGATACTTGTTTAAGATAAGCACTTAAAGTTCTAATCAGTAAAACTTCCTTCCACTTTAAACCAGCTAGAATAATAAGGCTATTAAAGTAATCGTTTTTTNTTTTTTAAATACTTTAGTTAATGTTATCTCAAACTGCTCTTTCAGAGTAATATTGTTCACCAGTTCATCAACCCGTGATAACACAAAATGGTGTATCCATACTCCATCATCAATCTTTATATAATAGCCATTGTGAGAGAGTATCCTAGCTCCTAAGTTTTTAGTAATTCTCAGTATCTTTGACAGATCCAAACCACCATTATTTGGTGTATATACCTTCAGTTGATAGCTCAAGCCGTTGTTAGTAAGTCTTAAATCTACTTCACTAATACCTTTTTTTCGAACAATTTCCAATTTCTTCATATCAGAGTACGCATCGTGAGGCTCGAAGTTCTCTTGGTAACTTATTGGAAAGACATTGCAGTAACGAATAAATATATCCTCAACAGTGCCAAAGGTATTATATAAATTATCTATAAAACGATCTTCCCATTTTTCGGTAATACTTCTTAACTTACTCTCTATTTCACTGCTAGAAGTTTGCAAATTGCCCGCTCTCAAAACAATGTGCAACTTCATCAAATCATATTCATTAATGATATGGTGATTATAAATATTTGCACTTTCAGCGTTAATTTCATCTTTTAGTATATCACGTATCTTAAACATCAGCCTAGCACTAGCATAACGCATAGGAATCAGCACTATGCAACTAGTAAAATCTCCTAGACTCCTCAAAAATAACTTCACTTTTGGTCTAATTGCAAGAGACATAACTGAGATGCAGATTTCAAATAATTCATCTTCACTAGATTGAAATAACTCATCACAAGAGAATACCTGCAGAATAGCTATCAAGGCTTTATTATTGTGCCCTCCTATTACAAACCCNACCCTGCTCTTTTTTCTATTACTTTAATTTTGTCCTTAACTACTGGAATTGTTCTAATATCTTGAACTTCAGCAGATGAAGTAAATAATCCAAAAAAACGCTTTTCTTTTACTAATTCTCCTTGATTATCATACTCTTTTATTCCAATACAGTTCATATACGTACGCCGATGCACTATCGAGATTGAATCTGACCTAAGCACATAGGGAGAACCTAAGTTTTCAGAGGAAACTAATACATTTTGATACTCCTCACCAACCTTAAATAAACCAAGATTTTTTTGATCATCGGGAATTAATTTTCCATCCTGATTTACAACACACTCTTGGTAACCTAAAAACACAAAGTTATTATTTTTCAACCAGTCGAAAAAATCACCACGATCTAACTTTTCCAGCATTAATGGCCAATCTTCAACAGAGTAAGTAACAGCTTTTAACGTCTTATGTAGAGACTGTCTCAATACTTCAATAAAACTATCACTGATACTCTTAATGATCACATATATAATTGATTCTTTTTTAGCATCACCTGCTTCTTCTAAAGAACAGATATCATCAATTAGGTTACTCTTTCTCTTGACGTTAATAATACTATTGCTATAATAACATATAGTTAAATTATGCGATTTAATGCTGGTTATGATGGAATCAACCAAGAAAGGCATGTCATTATTGACTATCTTGATTATAGTAAAATTTCCTTCTATCCCTGGTAAATCATTAGTGCTATATATTGCTAATTTACTTTCATCCCTTTCCTTCTGCGAAATAAAATCATAAGCATCTTGAGCAATATGCAGTAGAAACTTATTATTTATCTTCAAATCGCTGTTATAAACAAAGTTATAAAAATACTTAATAAACTCCCTAAGCTTATCATGATCAGCAAGCTCTAGTAACGACTGAACAACTTTACTACTAATATTATAATCTACACACATAATTTAAACAAAGATACACACAAAAAGTTTAAACTTTCTTAACTAAGATTTCATTATCAAGAGTGTATACAATTAATTCATCATTTTCCACTACTTCTCCTGATAAGATTAACTTAGCTAAATTATTTTGAATACATTCCTGTATCACTCTTTTAATAGGTCGTGCACCATATTCAGGGTCATACCCAATTTTTGCTATCAATTCCTTTGCCTCCTGCGATAAATTTATAGTAAGTTTACGCTTAACGAGGGTTTCTTGTAAATAAGAAAATTGCACATCAATAATCTTATAAATATCATCTCTAGTTAAGCTATGGAATATAATAATTTCATCTAATCGATTTAAGAATTCAGGTCTGAATGCAGATTTCACTATTTGCATTACTTCATCTTTAGTAGCTCCTTTAAGCATTATCTCAGCACCAAGATTGGAAGTTAAAATCAATATAGTGTTGCGAAAATCAACCAACTTACCATGGCTATCGGTGAGCCTACCTTCATCCAATATTTGTAACAACAAGTTAAATATATCTGCATGAGCTTTCTCTACCTCATCAAACAAAATAACTTGATATGGTCTCCTTCGCACTGCTTCAGTCAATCTCCCACCTTGCTCATAACCAACATATCCAGGAGGTGCACCAATAAGTTTTGAAACAGAGTGCTTTTCCATGTATTCTGACATATCAAAGCGTAAAAGAGCTAATTTATCATCGAACAAAAATTCAGCAAGAGCCTTTGCAAGCTCTGTTTTACCAACCCCTGTTGGACCCAAGAATAAAAACGAACCATAAGGTTTATTTGTATCCTGCACACCAGAGCGGGAACGCCTAACCGCATTACTCACTGCTTCTATCGCTTCTTTTTGTCCTATCACTCTCTTCCCTATTTCACTTTCCATATTAAGGAGTTTTTCCTTCTCGCTGTGCATCATGCTTTCAACTGGAATACCTGTCCACTTTGAAACAATATTTGCAATATCATTTTCAGTAACTTCTTTCTTTAAGAAATCACTTGATACTCCTTCTTGGCTCTTTAATTCACTCTCAAGAGCAGGAATAATGCCATACATTAACTCCCCTGCTCTACCTAAATTTCCATTGCGCTGAGCAACTTCTAGTTCCTTTCTGGCATTATCCAATTTCTCAGCAGTTTCTTGTATCTTCGCTACCTTATTTTTTTCTATCTGCCATTTGCTGTTTAGGTCAGCGAATTTACTATCTAATCGTTCAATTTCTGCATTTATTTTCTTTAAGCGTTCTTTAGAAGTCTCATCACTTTCTTTTTTCAGAGCTTCTGCCTCAATTTTTAACTGAATGATTTTTCTATCAAGTTCATCAATAACTTCAGGCTTGCTATCCATTTCAATTCTAACTCTACTTGCTGCTTCATCGATCAAATCAATAGCCTTATCAGGCAAAAACCTATCTGTAATATATCTATTAGATAACATTGCAGCAGCGATTATTGCACCATCAGTAATTCTGATACCATGATGCACTTCATACCTTTCTTTCAGTCCTCTTAAAATAGAAATCGTATCAGTTTCCGTTGGTTGAGAGATAAAAATAGGCTGAAAACGCCTCGCAAGTGCTGGATCTTTTTCTATATGTTCTCGGTATTCATCCAGCGTTGTAGCACCTATACAGCGAATCTCTCCTCTTGCAAGTGCAGGTTTTAGTAAATTAGAAGCGTCCATTGCTCCACTTGTTGCTCCTGCTCCAATCAAGGTATGCAATTCATCTATAAACAATATGATTTTCCCTTCTGCTTTTGAGATTTCGTTAATCACCGCTTTTAATCTCTCCTCAAACTCTCCCCTAAACTTAGTACCAGCAATCAAAGCACCCAAGTCTAAAGCTAAAACCTTTGCATCATGCAAACCAAGCGGCACATCATTTGCAACTATCCTATTTGCAAGCCCTTCAACTATTGCCGTTTTTCCTACACCAGGTTCACCTATCAACACCGGATTGTTTTTTGTTCTCCTCAGCGACACCTGCATAGTTCTTCTGATTTCTTCATCGCGGCCAATAACCGGATCAAGTTTACCTTGCATAGCAAGTGCTGTTATATCCTTCGTGTATTTCCTTGCAGCATTCAATCGTTCTTCACTGCTTGGTGAATCAGCTGTACTGCCTTTCCTCATTGCTGCAATTACCGAATTTAATTTTTGTGGCGTAACACTATTCTCTGTTAAAATCTTACCTACAACACTATCTTTTTGCACCGCAAGACTTTGCAATAGCCGTTCAACAGTTACAAAAGAATCCTTATTTCTTTGAGCAACACCAACTGATTCCTCAAAAACCTTTGCCATCTCTCTCGAAAGCTGCAAACCACCGCTACCTGGACCTTCAACTATTGGTAATTTTTTCAATGCACTTTCAACTGCATCAGAGATACCCTGTATATCTCCACCACATGCACTGATTAATTCACTCACTAGCCCTGATTCATCTTCGAGCATCACTTTTAATAAATGCTCCGGCATAAAAATTTGGTGCCCGCTTCCTAACGCTTTTGTTTGAGCGCTTTGAATAAAACTTTTCGCTTTTTCAGTAAATTTATTAAAATCCATAGTTCACACAAGCTGATAACATTAGGTATATAAACACTCATACCTACTTTATCAACAAAAAATCATCCATGGCCTTTTTTACATCTCCAGTACCAAATATTGCAGAGCCCGCAACTAAAATATCTGCACCTGCTTTTATAATTTCAGCCGCATTAGAAAGGTTGACTCCACCATCCACTGAAATTTGGGTATTAAGATTACGTTCTTGTATCATTTTTTTCACAATAGATATCTTATCCAACTGTGAACGAATAAAGTTCTGTCCACCAAAGCCAGGATTGACTGACATAATCAGCACAATGTCCAGTTCATGTAGTATGTACTCCAAAACACTTGGATGAGTTGAAGGTACAATTGAAACCCCAGCTTTAACAGTTTCTTTTGCATTATTTACATTCTTATATGATTTTATCTTCCTTATTAACCTTTCAAGATGTATTTCCGCTTCCGCATGCACAGTGATTATATCAGCACCAGCATTCACAAAATTTTCAATGTGATCCCCTGGAGAGCTAATCATTAGATGCACATCAAAAGGAAGTGCACTATATCTGCGTATTGCTGAGACAACACAAGGACCTATCGTAATGTTGGGAACAAAACTTCCATCCATCACATCTATATGTATATAATCTGCACCCGCATTGCTGACTTCTTCTACCTCTCTCCCCAATTTTGCAAAATTCGCTGATAGTATAGAGGGTGCAATCTTTATACCCATATTTTTAAACTATTCTTCCAAAAATTTTTCTGCATCAAGTGCTGCCATACACCCAGTACCAGCTGCAACCACGGCCTGACGATATATTTTATCCTGCACATCACCTGCTGCAAACACACCTGACCTACTAGTTAAAGTCGTTCCAGATTTTGTAGTAATATAGCCTTGCTCATCCATTTCCACAAAACCTTTAAAAACACCTGTGTTTGGAGCATGACCAATCGCAATAAATACTCCATCAACTTTAATTTCTTGAGCACTTTCTTCTTTAGTTGATTTTATCACAATGCTAGTTACTCTCTTGGGATTTTCTTCTCCTAATATCTCCTCTATTGCGTGATCCCATATTATTTCTATTTTATCGTTTTTAAAGAGCCTATCCTGCATTATTTTCTCCGCCCTTAGCTTATCACGCCTATGTATCAGCATAACTTTTTTCGCAAAGCGAGTTAAGAATATTGCTTCTTCAACAGCCGTATTTCCTCCACCTACGACAGCTACAACTTTGTTTCTAAAAAATGCACCATCACAAGTTGCGCAAGCTGATACACCATAACCTTGAAATTTTTTTTCACTTTCTAAACCAAGCCATCTTGCTTGTGCACCAGAGGCAATAATAATTGCATCTGAGTGGTAATCATTGTAATTGCCGTAAGATTTAAACTTACATCCATCAAGTTGCTTAACGCTTTTTATTTCATCGTCTACTATTTTCGCACCAACCTTCTCTGCATGCAATCTCATCTGCTCCATCAGCTCTGGACCTTGTATCGAAATAAAACCAGGATAATTTTCAACATCCGTTGTAATTGTTAGCTGACCTCCAGGCTGCATACCGGTTACCACAATTGGCTCTAAATTTGCACGTGCTGCATATATAGCAGCAGAGTAACCTGCCGCTCCAGAACCAATAATTAAAACTTTCGTGTGCATTTATAACTCTTCACTATAGGAAGTCAAATAATCAACTACTCCCTCATCGCTTGCTTGCATGGCTTGCTTGCCTTTTTTCCATCCCGCCGGACACACTTCACCATATTCTTCATTATGCTTGATTGCATCAACAATCCTAATAAACTCATCAATATTACGCCCTAGTGGTAGATCATTGATCGACTGATGACGTACGATAAATTTGCTATCTATAATAAAAGTTGCCCTAAGTGCAATCGAATCACTGTGCAACACTCCATAATTTCTTGATATTGACTTTGTTATATCAGACACTAAAGGATAGCTAATTTCTCCAATTCCACCTTCACTAACCGGAATTCTACGCCAGTGGTGATGTGAAAATTTAGAGTCTACACTTACCCCTACCACCTCAACATTACGCTTTGAAAAATCATTCACTTTATTACTAAATGATATTAATTCAGTTGGACAAACAAATGTAAAATCAAGTGGATAAAAGAAAAGAACTGCATATTTATTTTTAATAAACTCGCTTAAGCAGAAATTATCAACAATTTCTCCATTAGAAAGAACAGCAGGAGCTGTAAAATCAATAGCAGATTTTGTTACAAGATTCATAAATAACCTACTAACTCTTAATACTATAAATTTTACACCTTGATCAAGCAGTATGCAAGTTCTCTTTACTCGCTTGATTGATATAGTAAAACAAAGTTTTCTTGATGGATTCAAAGTCCTGCAAGGTATTTCCCTCACATCTTGCGGTTAGGCAATTTTGCGTATTTGATGCTCTAATTAACCACCACCCGCTATTATCATCTGCAACCACTTTTACGCCATCGAGATCTGAAAAAGCAACATTTTGCTTGCTCAGCATTTTTTTTATCGATTCAATTATCTGAAATTTTTTCTCTTCTTGAACCGTTACCTTTATCTCATGCGTGATGTACAACTCAGGCAAATCTTCAATGATTTCAGAGAGATTTTGTTCTTTTTTGAGTAGAATATCAATTGCTCTCATCGCTGAATATAATCCATCATCAAATCCCAACTCAGAGAAAAAGAAATGCCCACTTAATTCACCCGCAAATTTTGCATCTTCCGCTATCATTTTCTTTTTTATTAGCGAGTGGCCAGTAGCACAAGTGATTACCTGCCCTCCCAATTTTTTGACGAAATCATGGATTTTCATACTCATCTTCACATTTGCAATGATTTTATCTCCTTGATACTGCTCACGTGCAAAGAGCATGAATAAATGATCATTAGAAACAATATTACCTCTATCATCAATAAAACACACCCTATCACCATCACCATCAAGTGCAATACCTAGATCACACTTGTGTTCTTTCACAGCGCTAATTAACTGAGCAAGATTTTTTTCTTCCATGGGATCAGGAGCATGTAGAGGAAATGTGCCATCTATAGAATCATTTATTACTATATGCGTGTGATTAGGTAAAATTCTTTCAATGTATCGCATAATTCCGCCTGCAGGACTATTACCACAATCCCAGGCGATTTTTAATCTTTTCGTAGAATTTTCTTGTACTGCATTTTTTAAAATATTTATATACCGGTCATATATATTAATATCAACCACATTCCCGATTTTTTGGCTGCCCCTGATAGTACAACTGAGAATCTCTTTTATTTCCTCATCAGAGTAAACTTTTTTACTGCTGAAAAATTTAAAACCATTATATTCACTTGGATTATGAGAAGCAGTGATTATAATGCCAACTTCTGCTTGTGTAATCTGAGTTGCAGTGTAAAGCATCGGTGAAGAACACAACCCAACACGTATAACATTTGCCCCAGATGAAACCAAACCTCTGATCAACTCTTTCTCGATGCTGGGTGAAGTTATGCGACTATCATAACCAACACAGACACTCGCTACACACTGACCAAATTTTCGGCCTATTTCATACCCATCACCAATATGCAAATCTTTACCTACTATGCCCCTAATATCGTATTTTCTTATAATAGAACTATCCATACCGAGGCCTTAAATTTAAAAAGAAAAGGGATAGAAGCCTATCCCTTTTTAGAATATTATTATTACTTTTGTAAAGTTGATTTAACACAATTAACTTGAGTCTCAGTAAGTGCTGATAAAACAGCATTAATATCATCTTTAATATCATCTTTAATATCACCTTTAATATCATCTTTCAGTACAATATCATCACCATTAAGCTTAAATGCCCCATTTATAACATCTTCAAGCTCAGTAATCTTTGCTCCTTGTTGATCAATCTCTTCTCTTTGACTCAAACATTTCCACACAAGNTACTGCGACACCTAAAGCTGCCAGACCAAAAACTAATGGATGAGCTGCCATAAATCCAAACGTTGTAGTTAAAGCACTAGTAACAGCAGCAACAGCAACATAAAAAACAGTCGCAACTTTCGCTGCAGCTACACCAACCAAAGCTTTATAAGGCGCACAATAAAAATAAGCAGCTACCAGTGCAATCGCAGCAGCCACACCAAAACCAACTGCACCAGTTGTTTTTTTGTGATTAATTACCCATCCACTAGCTTGAGTATACCCACTTTTTACACTTTCTATCACTGACATAACTAACACTCCTATAAAACAAATACTAAAAATTTATTAATCTTAGTATACAGTAAAAAAATTTGCATGTCAAACATTAACTAATTTTTTAATATTTAATCATCCTATAGCTCAATGCTTCGGCAATGTGTTCCCTCTTCACTGCTTCGCTATTTGCAAGATCAGCTATAGTTCTTGCAACTTTTAACACACGTGTATAGCCTCTATTGGATATATAATTTTCTTTTAATACATATTTTAAAAGTTCTAATCCAGACTGATCAGGTTGAGCAAATTTGTTGAGTGCGTCACCATTTACCTCTGCATTGCACCGCGTATCACAGTTAGCGTAACGTTCAATTTGTATATTTCTTGCCGCTACTACTCGTTTTCTAATAGCTTCAGTTCTCTCCCCTTCTGCAGAGATTTCAGGAGAAAGTATATTAACATTTGGCATTTCAACATATATATCTATTCTATCAAGCAGCGGTCCAGATATTTTGTTCCTATAATCCATTCCACACTTTGGAGCTCTGTTGCATGTTCTGTTCGTATCACCCAAATGTCCACACCTGCACGGATTCATTGCAGCTACCAGTTGGAAATTAGCGGGATAAGTAATATGAGCATTCGCTCTTGCGATGGTCACCTTTCTATCCTCAAGCGGTTGACGCAGAGAATCAAGCACCGATCTTGGAAATTCAGGCAATTCATCGAGAAACAACACACCGTTATGTGCCATAGTAACCTCTCCAGGCTTCGCGTTTCTTCCACCTCCTATCATTGCAGGCATGGAACACGAATGATGAGGCTCACGAAAAGGACGCACCATTTCAAATGTTCCATTTGTGATACTAGAAATTACACTGATATCTATCATCTCTAATTCACTCAAATCAGGAAGAAGCCCCATAAAGCGTTTAGCAAGCATTGATTTACCCGTACCCGGCGGACCAACAAGAAGCATATTATGTCCACCTGCTGCTGCAATTTCAGCCGCTCTTTTTGCAACAATTTGACCTTTTATATCTCTCATATCACAAATTGATCTCTTCTCCCTGGGCAATTGAAAAGCTACCGGCTGAATTGATTGATCACCTTTGAAATGTTTTATAATATCAATTATCTTTTCTACAGCTAAAATCGAGATATCCTTTACCCATGCAGCTTCTGCACCATTCTCCCGCGGGCAAATTACTCCTTTATTTTCTCGCTTTGCATGAATCGCCGCTGGTAATACTCCTGAAACCGGCATCACTCTTCCATCAAGAGCAAGCTCACCCATAATGATGTGTGAGTTAGCCTTTTCTACTGATATAACATTCATGACAACAAGTAATCCGATGGCAATAGCTAAGTCATAATGGCTGCCTTCCTTCAGCAAATCTGCAGGAGAAAGATTCACGGTAATTCTCTTTGCAGGTAACAGTAAATTTATTGAATTTAATGCTGCTCTAATGCGCTCTTTAGACTCAGCTACAGTCTTATCGGGCAGTCCAACGATATTAAAAGCCGGTATTCCATTGGCCATGTGAACTTGCACGTTAACATTTACTGTATTAATCCCCTGAAGCGCCACAGTATTTATACTTGCTATCATAATGCATTTATTAAATTTTTAATATAATATACAGAATAAACAATAAAGTAAAGTTAGAGATAGGGACAATTTCTGTTGAATTTATACTCAGCTATAGAATAAGCTATATGTGTATGAATGAAATAAATTATATGGCACTTAGACTTATTCCAGACAATCTCAACATAGAATTCAGCAAGTATAGAAAATTAGCTATATTAACTAGTATAATTCTTATTATCCTTTCAATATTCACTATTACATTGCGGGGAATAAATTTAGGGATAGATTTTACAGGTGGAGTCCTGATAGAAATTTCATCACCAAATGAAAATTCCTCAGCCCTTGATACTTTAAAGGAAAATGGATTTACTGTACAGACCTCAAGATCTGGTAATAATTTAGTCATGTATTTTAAAGATGTAGGCGATGAAAATTCAATTCAGAAAATAAAAAATATCTTAGAAGAGGCGTTGGGCAACTCAATTATCTATCGCAAAGTGGATTATGTTGGACCACAAATAAGTTCAACACAAATCTTCGAAGGAATACTTGCAATACTTATCGCAATTGCTGGAATATTCTGCTACATCTGGATGAGATTTAATTGGCAATATGGTTTAGGTGGCACTGCAGCACTAATTCACGACGTTATTTTAACCACAGGTTTTATTAGTTTAATAGGAATTGAATTTAATATTTCATCCACCGCTGCTTTACTTACTGTTATTGGATATTCAATCAACGACTCCGTGGTTATATACGACCGCATTAGGGAGTACTGCGGTCAAGGCGATCAAACCAGAGAAATAGTAGATAAAAGCATTAACGCCACACTGGCACGCACAATCTTCACGTCTGGTACTACTCTCCTTGCAGCACTTCCATTAGTACTAATTTGCAAGGATACAGTAAGAGATTTCAGTTCGATCATCTTTTTTGGTATTTTAGTGGGCACTTATTCCTCAATATTTATATCTATTCCCATCTTGAATGGAAAAAATAAAGTGTAGGAAACAGATATTTTTTATGTTACATTCAATAGCAAAGGATAAGCTAATAGGAGTAAATGAAGTATGGCACAGCAAACAATTGATGCAGAGTTACGCAATGTAACAGGAACAAAAGTAATGCGCTCGTTAAGACAAAAGGGGTATATTCCTGGAGTTATATATGGAAAAGGACGTGAAAACTTGCATTTAACATTATCAGCTAAAGAGTTCACAAAACAATATAAGTTAGGCTCTCTTTCTGCTCATCTGGTAGAGCTAAATATAGCAGGTAAAAAAGAGTATGCAATTCTGCGTGATACTCAGTGGCATGTAGTAAAAGATACTATAGAGCACGTAGATTTTCAGTTTGCAGATAAAGACAGCGAGATAAAAATAGATATACCTTTATTATTTACAAATGAAGATAAAGCTCCTGGAGTAAAGTTAGGTGGTGTGCTTAATATTCTATACCGCTCTATTACTATAAAATGTGCTCCTGATAAGATACCTCAAGCTATAGAGATTGACCTTTCTGGTAAAATGATCGGCCAATCTATACACATTAATGATATACAATTGCCCAAAGGTGCTAAGCTTGCAGGTCATGAAGAGGAAAACTTTACTATCGTGACAATTTCTTCTACTGGCAGTGACAATGAAGAAGCTCAAGAGAAAACAGAGCAATAGTGTATTTGATAGTTGGGCTTGGTAATCCAGGTAAACAATACGAATTAACCTATCACAACATTGGTTTTATTATTGTTGATGCAATCTGCAAACATTGGGATTTTCAAGCTTTTTCTAAAAAAGCTGATTACCTGGTAGCTTCTGGTTTAATTAATAATAATAAGGTACTGCTACTAAAACCTCAGTCATTCATGAATAACTCAGGCATTCCTGTTTCAAAAGTGCGGAGCTTTTATAAAATTCCATTAGACAATATCTTAGTTATACACGATGATGCTGATTTGCAGCTAGGCAGAGTTAAAATAAAAAAAGGTGGCAGCTCTGCCGGCCATAACGGTCTTAAATCTATAGATAGTTTTATCGGGAACAACTACTGGCGCTTGAGATTTGGAATAGGTAGACCTGAAGATAAAAAAAGCTTATCAGATTATGTGCTATCAAAATTTGTAGATATTGAGTATATAACTCAGTCAGCTATAAAAATAGCAGAAGATATATACTCAATACTAATAGATACAGAAGTTAAGTGAACAGCTCACGAAATACACAATCGATTATATTTATGAACAAAATTTCAAATTGCAGTAGAGCCCCATTCTGTTGTATATATATCAGAACATTGCTATCCTGAATTTTAGGTAATGTTATTAAAAACTCAACTTTAATCCAGCCAAAAACACAAAACCTGAGTTATTATCTCCTACCCCCGATTCTGCAGTGTTAAATCTGACAACATCAAAATAATACGAAGCACCTGTAATTAAAGGATATTCTAGACTTAGAGCATATGAAGATAATTTGTTCGTTCCTAAGTTAGCTATTTCTCTTCTGCTAGTAAAATAAGTTGCACTTATTTTGCGAGTATCAGAATGATATGCGATGCCTGAGTTTATGTAATATGTGTTCACATCACTTTTTTCTTCTGTTCCTGGTTTAATATTTACTTTCCTACCCGATTTTCCACCATTGCCATATGAAAGAACGTAGCTAAGATTGAAATACTTTACATGCATTCCAGCATTCCAGTGCATTAATGGATTGTTACAGTCCACTTTTTCTAAACATTCACTTTCGCTAGTGTAATTTTTTTGAGCGAATTCACCAGTGACGGCAGTGGTAAAGCTTATGCTATCAGATATACTACTTCTATAAGAAAAACCTACACCGACAAGATTGCTGTAATTCAATTCATCTGACTTTCCTGGGACATAACTAAACCCGAATTGAAAGTTATAGATTTCAGGAGAAATGTAATTAATAGTTGCTAACTTACCCAATTTTAATTTCAGTCCGTTATAGCTACTGTAAATACTAGGCTTTATCCAAAAAACCTCATCTTTACTATAGCCAGCGCCATCGGA